GGCTACCTGTGTATTGTCTTGTACATAAATATATTTATAGACTTAGAAATATTTAGTATCAATTTTTTTAAAATTAATATGTCTCGTCATGAAATTTATTTTATCTTAAATTAGCCTCATATTTATTACTATATTTAACCTTTTATACTTATTTTATTATGGATATTTGTTATATCACCAATAATAAAACATAAATAATTATAAGACATCAATAATTGTTATTGATAATCAATTATATAAATTTAATGGTACACACACACACATATATATATATATATNGTAGGATTTGATTGATGTGACGATTTTAAAAAATTAGTTTAATTGGTAGAAATTGAAGATTACCAAAATGTCCCTAGGTATTAAAGTAATATAAAATTATATTTGTTAATGTTATATTTAATTGTAAAAATGTTTATTAAAAGTTAAAAATTTGGAATAATTATTAAAAATAATTTAAAAAATATAATTAAATTATACTTGATTGAAATGAATTTTTTTTAAAATATAGTACTTGTTTGTGATATAATTTAGTTTTAAGAAGTATAAATTTAATTGTTATGGAAGTAAAATTTATTCATTTTGTAGACCGCATAAAACTGTGTGACCATGGCTGTAGCTTCAGGAATCTTCACTGTTCTTCTGGCATGCAGGCACTCGTGAATACACAGTATTATGGTGGTTTGATATTTTATTATTGTATGAGAATAATAACAAATCACAAAAGGGCAGATTAGGCAAATCACCCTTCTTTCTTGAAAATCATCGTAGTTAAGAGAGTGATGCTACAGTACGTGAATCTCGTTGTTACCTCCGATTCATCGCTCACAATACTACACAAGTGAACACGAAATTTTTTTAATCCATCGCTCTCTTCATCGCTCTCTTTCTCTCCTTAACAATGTATCACCTCAAAGTGAACTCAGTCTTAGTCAGACTAAAAGAAGAGTTAATGATAAGGATAATTAAATTAATTATAAGTTAAATCATTATCATTTTTGTTGTAATTAAGTCAGGTAATCAAAAGTCCATCTCAAAATCTACAAATACAAGTTTGAAGTATTTAGGTAGTTTGTTACATTTATTGCAAATATTGTCAAATTCATTGACTTTAGCATCAGAGTGTTATATAAGAGAACTTTGACCTATGCTTGAAGTTTGAAGACCGTTGCGAGAAATAGACTTGACCTCGACCCCTTAAACCAAAACATCCTCTTATAAGATATTGAGAGATTCTAAGTTAGGCTACCTGTGTATTGTCTTGTACATAAATATATTTATAGACTTAGAAATATTTAGTATCAATTTTTTTAAAATTAATATGTCTCGTCATGAAATTTATTTTATCTTAAATTAGCCTCATATTTATTACTATATTTAACCTTTTATACTTATTTTATTATGGATATTTGTTATATCACCAATAATAAAACATAAATAATTATAAGACATCAATAATTGTTATTGATAATCAATTATATAAATTTAATGGTACACACACACACATATATATATATATATAGGGGTTTGCTAACGCGCGTTTTAGCAATGTATATCGGGTTTTAATAGACAAAAATACCCTTATATATCATGGATTCCAAGTTTTAAGGTTAAGGGTATTTTAATAATTTTCATTTTCAAAACTTAAAAAAAGAAACTCCCAAACCCTTACTCACGTCTCTTCAATTTCATCATCTTCACTAACCTCTCTAATTTCATCATCTGCATATGTTGAATCATCATCTCTAAAAAAATCCTCCAGGCCAATTACCAATTCTTTCCAATGTCATGCTTGTGAAAATTAGATAAAATTATATACGACAAAAATTATAAAATGAAAACTCATTATAAAATTATTTTTTGTAAGAAATTGTTTAACAACGAGTGCTCCAAATTTTTTCTCGGCCAATAACCAATACCTTTGATAACATTATACTTGTGAAAATTAGATAAAATTATATAAGACAAAAATTATAAAATGAAAACTCATTATAAAATTATTTTTTGTAAGAAATTGTTTAACAACGAGTGTTTCTGATTTTTTCCAGGCCAATTACCAATTCCTTTGATGTCATTATACTTGTGAAAATTAGATAAAATTAGATAAGACAAAAATTATAAAATGAAAACTCATTATAAAATCATTTTTTGTAAGAAATTGTTTAACAACGAGTATTTCTGATTTTTTCCAGGTCAATTACCAATTCCTTTATGCTTGTGAAAATTGGATAAAATTAAATAAGACAAAAATTATAAAATAAAAACTCATTATAAAATCATTTTTTGTAAGATTGTTTAACGACAAGTGTTTCTGATTTTTTCAATTGGGGCTACACTAGGGATGACAGAGAAAAGGATTTGAGTGAGAGAGATGAAAGAGAAAGGATTGAGAGGAATGAGAGAGGTGAGTAAGGGTTTCAAGGTAAACTTAAAACTTAGAATCTATGATATATAAGGTTATTTTTGTCTACTAAAACCCGGTACACATTGCTAAAATGTACCAACTGAAAAACAGGCGTACGCGCGTTAGCAAACCCCATATATATATATATATATATATGGTTAAGTATTTTTATTACTAAATGTTTCCATCTTTGTAATCTTTGTCTTTAATCCGTTCAAAGTCTCTTATTTGCCAAAAGTTGTTTGGATGTTACTTGTAGAATATAATGCTTAAGTGTAGATGTCTAGTTTAGAATACAATTCCTGATAAAAACTAAGAAAAGTGAAACTTGCAATCTTGGCAAAGGTTTCACTCATATAATTCAAGTTCCAAGTTTATTACAAAAGGTTTCTCTCCTTTTATATGTAAAGGAGAATGCTAGAGTATCTTGAATACTAAGGAGCCTAAAAGCACGAGGAGTCTAAACATTAAATGAGTAGTATATGCTTGTAACTAACCAGCTAAAGCATTTAATGAAGAGACTTTTGATATTGACCGGCCAAGGCAACCCATTTAAACTTATTTTAGGTGCTAACCTCTAATTAAGGTCCCAATGATGTGCTAACCTTCACTTAAGGACACCGAGTCTTCTAAACAAAGCTAAACAAAGTTTTTTGGCCAAATACAAGGCCTAATGAAACTATATTACATATTTATAAAGGTGTTAAAAAAAAGAAGAAGACTAATAAGTAATCCTCCACAAAAGTAGAGTCTTTGAAACTCTGTATTCTTCTTCCATTCTCTTAACTATGACTCTTGTGAGTTGTCCAATATATCCTCTGGATGGTCTTTCATTAATTACCATACACAAGTAACTAAAATTTCATGAGGTACATGCTGTTACTTTTCATGCTTTGCATCATCTTGGTGAAGCTTTATGTGTCCGTGCTTACATTAGGAACCAATTTTGTGCAAAGGTGCCACGTGAGGGAACTGGTTCCACATTTCCATGCTTGGGGAGGGAGGTGAAGGGTGAGAGGTTTTTTTAGAGAATCCATAACAGCTGAATGAAAATGCATGGGTGAAAAATCAATTCTAATAGTATTGAAATCAATCATGTGATTAACATGGAGCTGAGAATCAATTCTATAATTTACTAGAAATCAATTTTGTAATCTACGTTAATCCTACACAATAACACTCATTACAAGTGTACAAGTGGGATGCATTGATATTGTACCGTCCGGTCCTCCCGACACATAGACCGAGCGAGCGGTTAACCCAATGCCGCCCACCCAGGTCACAATCAAGACCGCACGTCCGAGCTAGGACTGACCTATTGGCCAACCGTACATAGAACGAACGAACATCAAAGGTCGTCCATCTAGGTCGACCGACAAGACCGAGTGTCCATCGTGACTGATCGGCAGAACCGAGTGGCTTCCCACCCAGGTTGACATCCTTGGCCGGTCACCCTGCTGACCGGTCGTCACGACCGTCCCTCACTGTGTTGACTACGCGGTTAAATACTAATGACTCAGTAAAGCCCTTAATGAAGATTAAGGTATGATTGGGTCGTTTTAAGGCCCACGAAAGGTAAAAGCCCATTACAATCAGTATAAATAAAGGTCTCAGGTATGATTTCTGGACAGATTGCTTACAATGCAATATACACATGCATTACAGACGACCGCCCGACTTGGAGAGCGAGGAGGGAGAGGACAAATACTACAACCAGGACTTGAAGACGAGAGCCCATTCGACCCTTCCCAGCGCGTCCAGCCCTCAGCCAAGAGCTCGTGAAAAGGCGTCCGTCCGTCACCAAGCGCCCGTCCGATCCGAAACATTGCGATATCATCCGTCCGCCAGTCTTTATCGTTTGTGAGTGTTTTAACAGGGTCCCACTAGATCCGGTCGAAACAGATATAATAATCCATAATGGGAATATATGTGCCATAGTTTTGATAAAACTATATATTTCGTTCCTTAGTGTTATATATATAATATTATATTATATTTTAATTTACTAAAGCATTTTTTTTAAATTTTATTATACTTTTCACAAATTTTCATAAATTTTATTTTCAAATTTTTTTCACTCTCACTTCTGAATATCTTAAAAAAACATCACAAATTTTACATGAATTTTCTCCTGATCTATCTTTGAATAGGAACAAATCCCTTAAATATTTTTGTTGAATCACTCAAATGGTTTTGTTCCATGTTTGATGATGGACAGTTCTTCTTTCTTCTAGCTTTAATCAATCTAGAGTTTAGAAAAATATTAACTCTAATAATTTTTAATTAGGCTAAATCTTATGATAGTTGAATTTGATACGAATTTTCTCTTCAATTACTATCGTCCTAGAGTTAAAGACTTTGTAGGCTTTTGATGTTTGAAAATATAGAATCACTATCCATTCATCATTGAGTAAAACTTTCAAAGATTATCTTAGAACATAATTCTAACCATCTTGGTATTTCATGATTTTGTTGTGATGTTTATTAAAAAAATGTGTTGAATTTTATAACTTAATTGTTGAAAGTATACACAAATTCTCTACAATTATAAATTTTCATATTAAAACAATACATTAGTCTTTTTACAAAGAAACAAACACAAAACACTTGAGTTCTGATTGGAAAGAAATGAGAAGTGTATGATGTAGCATTTTTGTTTCCTCAGTCATTCTTCTCCAAAGTTGTCGTCAATGGCGGACTGGTCTGAACTTCCGAAGGACCTTCTAAACCTAATCTCCCAACTCCTTCAAAGCCCTCTCTACCTTCTCCGTTTCCGATCCGTTTGTTCTTCTTGGCGCTCTTCATCTTCATCTTCTTCCCCTTTTCCCTTCTCTCACTCCATCACTCTCACCCCCACCTTCTCCCTCTCCCATCGATCCCTTCTCCTCCTCACGCCACCCTCCACCGCCCCCAACAGCCGTCCCTGGCTCGTCAAAATTTCCCACGACACACGCGCCGGTACTGCGCGTCTCTTCCACGCGCTTTCCCGCTCCCAGCCAAAACGACCCCGTTTCGCGCTCGACCTCCTCCGCCTCCACGTTCTCGACCTTGGCCGCGAGTTCCGCCTCTCCAGCGCCTGCCCCTCCACGGAATCCCTCTACGACGAGAAGCTCGTCCTCCTCTCCGTTGGAAATGACGGCTTTGCCCTCCTCACCATCCACATCTCCGGCAAGCTCGCGCTCTTCCGCCGCGGCGACTCGGGCTGGACCATCATCCCCAACATGCCGACCCCCTACGATGATGTCTGCGCCTTCCGCGGCTCCTTCTACGCCGTCGACGGAAACGGCCGTACAGTCACAGTGGGTCTCGACTCCTCGCTCCGCGTTGTCACGGAGCGCGTCTTCGGCGGGGACAAGAAGTTTCTGGTGGAGTGCGACGGAGCGCTGATGCTGGTGGACCTGTACTTATTCACGGACTACGAAAATTTGGACGAGGAGGGTGTTGGTATCATTGCGTGGGAGAGGACGGTGAAGTTTGATGTGTTTAGGCTCGATGAGGAGGTGGGGAGGTGGGTGGAGGTGGCGAGTTTGGGGGAGTGGGTTTTGTTCTTGGGAGAAGATTGTGCGTTTTCGGCTTCTGCCAAGGATTTGAGGGTTGAGAGAGGGAACTACGTGGTGTTTAGAGATAATTGGTTGGGTGCTGTCAGGGTTCCTAATGTAATGGGAGCTTTTGATTTGGGTGATGGAAGGATTTCGCCCTTGTCTGAGTGTCCCGGCTTTTCTGAGCTATTCTGGCCGCCCCCGGTTTGGGTCAGGACCCATTGATGCTTCTCGAGGTGTGTATGAATGCATGTATATGTGTTTGCTGATTTGGTAGATGACTTTTAGGTTTTTCATGCTGAATTGTGCTATTAATGTCTATTTCCATTGCTATGTGTGCATTGTATGTGTATGCGTATGAGAATTTCAGGTGTTCTCATGGTGAATTGTTCTATGAATATCTATTTTATGTGTGTGTGAATGTATGTATGTGTATGTGAATACTGATTTGGCAGAAGCTTTTCAAGTGTTTTCATGGTGAATTGTGCTGTGCTATGAATATCTATTTCGATTGGTGTGTATGAATATGTGTATGCTGATTTGGTAAAAAGGTTTTCATGGTGAATTGTGCTATAAATATCTATTTCCCTTGGTTAGTGCATGTTTGGTTTTCTGTCGGGAAGATGATTCTTGGACCCCTTTAGATAGATGGGAAGACAAAAGATATAAGGAATTGATATGATTGAAGATCCGATGTTAGAAGAAGTGAGGTGTAGAGAGAAATGAGAGGTATTGATGGCGTTGTTTGTAATTTCTGAGTGTTGGGAGGTTCCAATGTATTTGCAGAATGTAAAACTGAAAAGCCTCTTTCTTTTGTTTTCAGTTGGGTTTGATATTAAACTGAGTTTGGCTTTGAAACTCAGTTTGAAAAATAGAATTAAAGAGAGAGTTGCTTTTACAAACTCAGTTTGCTATATGAAGTTCATTCAAACTTAAGTTTACAAAATTTAGTGTGTTAATTTATCGTAGGGCACCACATTTTTCATTATTGTTTGGTTGCATTGGGTGTTAATAGAATCATAATTGGAATGGGGACTTTTTTGTTTGGAAAATGGTTGGATTTGACTCTTGTTGAAGTGTCCCAGGCGAGGTAATCTGGCCACCGCCAGATTGATTCAGGGTGACACTTCATGCTTGGTATGCTTATATACGTACTCTGATTTGGTTATTTCAAAGGTGAATTATGCATGAAAATCTAATTTCATTGCTTAGTGCATTTTTGGTATTCAGTTGGAGACCCCAATGTGCAATCAAAAATTATAATCTCTTACTCAGTTTACAGTTTGATTTGATTGTAAATAGAGTTGTCTCTATTTTGCCTTGAAACTCAGTTTGAAAAAGAAGTAAAGCGAGAGATGCTTTTACAACTCAGGTTGCAAAATGAAGTTCATTCAAACTTAAGTTTAGAAACTTCAATCCAAACACAGCCTTAGTGCGTGTTTTAATTTATTACAGGACACCTACAAAGCCACTCGTTGTTCTGTATTTTTAAACTTGGTAACTGGAGTATTAATTTGTTGTTAATTGAAGCATGTACTAAAGTTTGGTGTATATAAAGAAGGTTGATTAATGAAGTTTTAGATTAGGACTATGAGTGTCTTATGAAGAAGTATAGGTATTTTTGACATGGCTCTTTTTATTACGAGAATTTCTCTCGGTAATTTTGCATATCTATAAAGTGGAGTAACATATTAGAAGACCTTTACAAAAGGAGATCATAAAAGGATTTGCATATGTTATTACCGCTAACAATGAAAGTGAACACTATTCCTTTGTGAATCCTCTCCACATTGCTCACTCACTATGACAAATCATTATTCTATTTACTGATGCTGAAAATATTGTGCATTATTTAATTTTGAAAGTTAACTTCTATGAATCATGGTGCATAATTTATGCATTTTGTAGGTAACTTCAAAATTTAAATAGAATGTCCTACTTCTATAAATTATAATACTTTTTTCTTGCTGCCCGATATGTTCACCCCTTGACGTGGCAATCATTGTATGCCATTGTTCATTACTGTTTAGTTATGTTGGTACAAGTTCACCTACAGATACAGGCTCTTTTGTTCATTGTTTTAATCTTGCCCCAAGTTAAAGACTGCAGGCAAATGTTCTAACAATGGACTGACTTTTCACCTACACTTTTTTTTAAAGTAGCAGAGAAATTGTCCTAGCTGGGTTAGGTGGTTTCTGTAGTGGCTTCTGTAAATGTTTCTTTACTTGACTTTGAGAATAATTAAGATTTGAATAGGATGCTATTGCTAAAATGCCTTATACGATCAATGCAGGCTAAGCTAGAAAAACCAACATTCATGAAGATTATGTCCCCAGTAATCACCACCTAACCTCGGCAAAGCAACATTCACGAGTACTCCATTGTAAATTGAATAAAGAGTAAGATGTTTGGAAGTGGTCGATCAATTTGCCTCATTTGAAACCAGGATTTTTGTTTGAGGTTGATAAGGCTTCTTTAGTTCTTTTTTGCATATTGAAATAATTCATTGCTAAAATCCATAAATTCATTGTCTTCTGTACATACAAGGTTCAACAGTCCAAACTTGTAACTGCTTTCCATCTTTGCAAATAATTTTCTTGAAATAAGGAGACCAGTCTTTTTCATCCTAGTGGACATTTCCTGTAAAGTTTATTTCATTTTTTTTCTTATGCAAGTAGTGAACTTAATGGAATTGATAATTCCATTACGCACTCTTTCTTCCTTTAAATGCCAACGGAGTGGGAAGGAACAGGAACTTAAATGTTTATGACTCAGAACTCCATTACATTTTAGCATTTGAGTGTTTAAGACTGCACCTTTGAGCCCTCTCTTAAACAAGACGACGATGTTGTCCAATGTAAAACCAAGTTCTCCATAACCCTTTCATCAGTCTCCAATTGACCGTTTTTTGCTATTTTTTAAACTATATGTTGATTTCATGTCATTTTATGTATCCAAAACATAATCTTACTTCTCTTCATCCCTTTTGCCTTAACCAACATTACTGCCAACTTCCCCATTTTATTCAACCTAACTCATCAAAACATTTTTTTGTCCTTATAAGTTTACTACTACACTATGTATTCACATTCACAACGTCAACATAATGTACTTAATAATCACAACTATATATGTATTTCCTTATATATAATGTATGATTTTTTTTTTCAAGTTTAAAATAATAATAGAATTGGGTAGATGGAAGAGAGATGAAAACAAGGATTGTTGTTGAAGTCACTTTGAAATTCCAAGTGCTTCCATTATACAAGTTTTTCAGAAGTGGAACATGGATTACTCTATAGACATATAAGGTGTCAAGTGATAACCAAGTTAACATTTTTTATAACACACTGTAAAATAACAGATGTATTTTACATCTAAATTATATATTATTTTAATTAACTTTGAAAGCTATATAATAAATTTGAATATATTTAATTGATTTTTTATTAATTTTTTTTATCTATTGAATATCTATATTTTTTATTTGAGTATTTATTATTATTTTAATTTAGATGATACATCTTGCTGTTTTCATGTGTTAAGAGAAATGAATTTTATATATAATTAATATCAAATGATATTATTGATAATGTAAAATAACAAGTAATTTTTATTGCTTTTATTGAAAACATGATAAATAATAAGAAAACTTAATGAAAATTTAGTTATAAACTTATATATATATATATATATATATATATTAATTTTTATTATCATTTTAATAAATTGATTATCTTTGTTATCACATACTTTAACGTGTGGAAAAAAGAGAAAAACTATCTATCTTGAAATATTTTAGTAGTCAAAAGGTCGAGATGAGGAGAAATTGATGTGTTAAATTCTTAACCCTTTCTTGTCTACTCTTGCAAAATTTTTGATTATATATTTTTAAAATAAATTTTGAACGTTATATAATATGGTAATGAAAAATTGAGACTATATATTATTTATTTATTTAAAAATTACGGCTATAGATTAAAAATAATAGTTTTTAAGTTTTAAAAATAAAAAAAATAAAAAAATGTATGAATAATCAGGACAATCTCAATCAGTGGTGTCTAACTAGAATGTTCCCTTGATTCCACACGTTATGTTCAGAAAAATATGAGTGATATTTAACTAACACACCATTTTTACTTATTTTGAAAAGTTAAAAAAATATACAAACTTTAATATATACACACACACACACAAACACATATATACATATATAATAAAATTAATTTTATTTATAAATATTGTAATTTAATATATAATAAAATAATAAATTTGATTTAAAAATACAATTTAAAAAAAAAAATCTTATTTAACCTGTGTTTATTAGCTCATGCATTAATCTATGCGCTGAGAATCATTTTAATAATTCTAATTCCTTCAAACCTAAATTGAATGTTTTGGTAGAATAATTGTCGTTGTTGAATAAGTCTTTCTATGCTAAGTTTAAAATTGAATCCCTTTTTTTCATCACTCAAGTTTTGTTTGAATGAATACTGAATTTTAAAGCTAAAATATTGATGGTGAAAATTGAATTTTCCATGTGAGAAACATAACCTAGTTTGAGTCAAGAAAAGAAACACATGTTGTTCTTTTAGAATGTTTTAGTGAAAGTTGTTGTTGTTTCTTATTTGTCAAACCATATGGGTGGTTATGTACCAAATATGTCAAATGCTACAATGTTGCCTAACCCACCATAAATCTAAAATTCTTGCAATCACTTTCCGCACTTTTAAAATGGATAATGGGAACTCAAACGTGAAAATTTAGCTTAAATTACAATAAATATGATAGCTTGATACAGTAAAAATTACGTATGAAATTATTTTTTTTGTGTTGAATATATATAATAAAAAAATGTAAAATAAGTCTAAAATATAAATAAAAACAAATACCAAACTAAACATGAAAGATAAAAATAAGATAAAAATAATATATTTAACTATACTTAAACTTTATAATTACATTTTATAAGAACAATTCAGGCAACTCTATTCACCAATTGCTATTAATTTTCTGCCAAAACTAGATAGATTAATTAGCAACATAATGATATTAACAAACAAAATTAATCTTTAATAAGTGAATTAGAAGAAACTGACAATAAAAAAAGTTAAATTATAATAACTCTGCAAGTTGATCTACCCGTTCAGAATGGCACTGTGTGATTCTTAACTTTTAAATCTGCATTTTTATTTTCTGTTTGATTTTTCAATATCAAACATTTAGGGCAGTTCAAATATCAATATGTTTTAATTAACTACTGAAAAAGTTTAAGTATGTTATTAAAAGCATTAAACTTCAATGATTTTTTTTTTCTTTCTGTAAATTATTGCATATATGAGTCATTTTTTGGTTTCGTAACTGAAAAGATTTTGCTGTTTGGTAATGTGATGCGATGAATCTAGCTTGTTGAATGTAACATATGAAAGGCTATATTTTAATGTTACATATGAAAATAAGGGAATAAATTTCAAATCATTAAAAATAAAATTATAAATTCCGATCCTAAATTCTACAACAATAATCTCTAGTGATTTTTTTTTTAAATTTATACAAGTTATAGTACACACATGTATAATATTATTAAATATTTAAAAATTTAAACAAATAATTATTAAATTATATATTCAATAATTACAATTTAAATAATAAAAAAATAATATATTTTTTAAATATGTTAAAAAACTGAAAGAGGAAAATATATACAACCGAAATTTTTGTTTTTTTTTTATATTAGAAAGAAACATTACATTTTAACAGATACATCAAATAAACACTACCTGATAACTTTATTATAGTAATATAATAATACATATTAATATTTCAATTTAAAAATAGAAAACATATCATTAAAATATTAATACAATTAGGTTTCAAGACATCAATGTGTTATTAGAATTTTCCTAAAATATTGTCTCCTAACTTCTTAATACTAACATTTTTAACCTTTTAAAAAAGTGATATGGTAAATTTTTAAAATATATATAAGGAAGTAATCAGAAGTAAGAGGTTTATAGTATGAAGGTTATTAAATAGTAGAGTTAATAAACATAAATTTATATATCATTTCCATATCCTCAAATTTTCAATCAGAAAAAAATGAATGACTTTTGATAATGTTTAAGGTGTTAAAAGTTTTCCTTTTATTCAATATTGCTGTCATACTGCACTTTGAATTTTCCATTACTGATACACATGTTGAACTGGTTTTAGCAGTCAATGGAAACACACTTAGCACAAAATGTTTGGCAGTTGGTAAACAAGCACAAGAACACCTGAAATTAACGAACTCAAGTTTAATTTTTTACCATTGATTCAAAATTCTGGTAACACCCCAGTATTCATTTCTTCTCAGTCTCAACAAATTTTTCTTCTTTCTTACAATCAATCAATGCTAATTTTTTCTCTCTCTACAAAACCAGCTCTAACTTCCCTATAAATATATATACATATAACTCTTCCTTTACCATTTATCACAGCACAAGTCTCTCTATAATCCTAAAAAACAACCTTTTCTCACCTTGTTGTTTTGTCACAGAAAAAAAAGACACATCACACGAGAATGTCTCCACAAAGTGTTGCAGTTCTTTCACTTTTCATCACCATGTTTGTCTCATCTGGGGTGTGTTTTGGCTCTTTCCTAGAAGACACATATGATTTAACTAAGTATCAGCATTACTCTGTCAAACCAAACAATGAACATTTTGGTAACATCATGAGAAGGGCTTATGGATCCAACCCTTCTGCAAGGTCTAAGAGAATGATCAGTGTTGATGACTATGGAGCCAAAGCTAATGATGGAAGAGATGACACTAAGGTAATTAATTAACGTTACAATCTGACATGAGAATTATTAAACTGTGTTTAACTCCATTCAGTTACCAATCTTTCTCTTTCCTTAGGCATTTGAGAAGGCATGGAATGAGGCATGTTCTTCAGGGGATGTTCTTGTTGTCCCAAAAGCAAAAATCTATCATTTGAAGCCAATCACTTTTTCAGGACCATGCCAACCAAACACTGCCTTCAGGGTGAGATTAATTAACATTTTCAACCAATGATTAGTTAGAGATTAGGTGATTTTTTCACTTTCCCCACAATTTTGCTTCATCATGTTGCTCAGGTCTATGGAACAATCAGAGCATGGCCTGATATATCAGCATATGGAAAAGAAAGACTATTCTGGATCATGTTTCAAAATCTCACCAATCTCAGAGTTGATGGTGGTGGCATCATCAATGGAAATGGCAGAAAATGGTGGCAGAACTCTTGCAAAACCAATGAAAGCCTTGTAAGTTGTTCTATTTCAACGTAATTAACTCAAACTCCTGAAACATTCACATTGTTCTTTACACTATTTCCAGTAAAAACACTTCTGCAGAACTAATGTTAAATCTGTTCATTGTATTCTGCAAAACTGATTAAAAAATATGTATTATATACCAGAATCATCAAAAGGAGATCGTTTCTGCACATTCATTATGCATTACATCTTAAATCAATGAATAGTGCAGATCTGTGTGATGTTAATTGAGTCAGATTTCGTGTGATTTTCAATACTGAACATGAGTTTTTGTCTCTGTGTTTCACAGCCATGCAGACACGCTCCAACTGTAAGTTAATGTTCTTCTTTGTAGCATGATGTTTCATTTTACGTGCAACAATTTTACACGTTGATGCACACATGACTCTGTTTGCATACTAAATTTTGTTGCACAGGCTGTGACATTCTATGGATGCAACAACCTGAAAGTGACAAACCTGAGATTCAAAAATGCACAACAAATGCATGTAAGGTTTCAAAGGTGCAACAATGTGACGGCTTCGAATTTGATCCTGAGAGCACCAGGGAACAGCCCCAACACTGATGGAATTCACGTCACAGGGACACAAAATATTATCATAAGCAATAGCTCCATTGGGACAGGTGAAAACCAAAATCAACAACACAATATTAGAAAAAAAAAACACGAATTTTAGATTTTCTGATATGCTTTTTTCACTGTTTTATTGAAGGTGATGACTGCATTTCAATAGTGAGTGGGTCCGAGAATGTTCGAGTGATAGATGTTACGTGTGGACCAGGGCATGGAATCAGGTTTGTAATCATAGAACAATGTTAGAACAAATTATGTTGGTGAATCTCAATACATAGTATCAATGAGATCAAGCAATGGGTAAAAAGCAAATATAATATTATAAAGTATCTTTTCTAAGAAAAAGGAGGAATTGCTAATAACAATAAAATTAGTATATTTTAGTAGGCTGAACCTTTTCAAAAGTTGATGTTGTATTATAATGTTGCAGCATTGGAAGCTTAGGGGCTGGTAACTCAAGGGCTAATGTGTCTAATGTGTTAGTGAACAGAGCCACCATAAGAGGAACCACTAATGGAGTTAGAATAAAGACTTGGCAGGTATACATACAATACAAAGCTTTTGACTTTGCTTCTGAAAACTGCAATTCAACTTACCCACATAAATTAATTTTAGATTTGTACAAATTCCAAAGAAAGTCTTCAAGAAAAATTGGTAAATCTGAACACAATGCCAAATTTTAGGCACAATAAGACTACAACAATTTGGAAGTTGACCTATTGTACATGCTCAATTTGAACTACCATGCTTTGTTCCAACTTTTTTGTTTTGGTTGGTTATCACTTCTAAGTTCTAACTGACCAAAGTTGACATGAAATGTTTCAACCAACCATGTTTGGCAAGTTTACACACAGTCCACCAATTCTTAACCTTCTTTTCACAAGTCAACATGGTTTTCTTTTTCAAAAGCTGTGTAGTTCAACTTTCTTTGATCCTTCCTCTTAACTAATCTCAACCAACCTTTTCCTTTTTCTTTTCATTTGTGTTTTGTGGGTTGACATGGAAACTACTGTTTGGAAGTCCTTTATATGCTAAAAATTGCCACAAAAGACATTTTCCTAAACTTTCAATCAAGAAAGATTAACTGAATTTAATGATTTTCCTTCTGACTATGAGACTGTGTTTTACGAATGATGTCTTACATAATGTTTGTATGACAACACAGGGAGGTTCTGGATATGCGAGAAACATAAAATTTGAGAATATAGTAATGAGAAATGTGACAAATCCGATAATTGTAGATCAAAACTACTGTGACCAGAAGAAGCCATGCAAAGAGAAGGTGAGTTTTTGAAGGTGTGAATGAGAAAAAAGAGAGAAAGTCCTTGTATTAAGGAAAAATATTACTTGGCTCAATTTTTTATATTCATTTAATATTATTATTATTTACTTTTTACTCTTTTCTTAAAGAAAAAAAAGTAAAAAATATCTTTTGACACACATAATTTTTTTTACATTAATTTGATATTATCCTTCCTTACTTTTTACTTTATTCTTTTTCGAAAAACTATAAAAATTAACTCTTTTAAAACCATTTTGCCCTTATTAAATGTGTCAAATGAATATTAATGTGTGTTATACTATTCTTTACTCTTGAAAAAATACAAAATTTTATATTTTATGACCATTTTACTCATCTATTCTGTGTCAAACAAATGTAAAAGCGTGTCATAATACCGTTACTATCACTTTTATGTTAATTAAGATTGATAAAATTTTCAGGTCTCAGCAGTGCAACTGAGTAACATTGTGTACGAAAACATAAGAGGAACAAGTGCTTCAGAGGTGGCAATAAATTTTGATTGCAGCAAAAGTTTCCCATGCAAAGGAATATACTTACAAGATGTGATCTTAACACCACAGAGCCATGGTGGCACTAAAACCATTGCTACATGTCAAAATGTTAGATATTTTAATAGAGGAAAGTTTTTTCCTTCATGCTCTAATTGATTATCATATTAGAAGTGTAGTTATCATAATTTGTACATCCTCTTGCTTCAATAGAGTCTACCACTTAGTTTTTTAAAAACTCAAATTCCTCTCATTTAATCTTATAAAGTTTATTTATAACATCAACTTTTTATTTATTTATATATTATAAATTTATTGTATGTGACCTAAGATTTTTAACAATTTGATATGTTTTACCATAAAATATATTATTTAAGTAAAAGCTGATTTTTTTAATATTTTATAACTTTACAAGAACAGTTTGTCTACTTTAAATTAGAAAGTTTTAAATTAAATTTAAAAAGTAAACTTTAAAATTACATCTGTTTTACCATAATTAATTATTTTCTGTTACTATTAGTCAGATTTTTTTATCAATGACAATGAAATCATATTTTCAATCTATGTATGTAAAGAAATTTAATATTAATAAGAATTAATTTTTAATTGATAGATTATTAAATATATTTAATATTAAAATAAATTTTGTATTTAGTAGTTGAAATAATTTATTCAAATAAAAACTAATGTATAATATTTCAGTTTTTTTATCCAAATAAATAATTTAAAAATGAAACAATTTAAATTTAAAAACAATTGAAATTCAACATGTTTTAAAGTTTGTAGAAATTGTCAAGTCAAACATATAGTAATATTCTTATTTCATAGTATAATAATTTATTAAAAAAATGTTGAGCACAATAACATCATGGCATATCAAATTTACCAAAATACTCATAGTTCATGATGATTTAATAAGTGTAAAAATAATAATAGTTAATGATAAAAAATACGAAAATATAAAAATTAAACATAACGATAAAATTTTACATTACAAACCCAAAAGTTAATGTAAGAAAAAATATAATGTTTAAAAATTTATAATCAGTGTTGTGAATGGTATGAAATTAAAAATAACACTTAAATATTTTCCAAAAAGAGAAGCATGTATTAGAGAATCTCAGAATTTCTAAGACCTTTTGCTTAACCCATTGTCATAAACTAACACAATTGAACATCCAATTTTTGCCACTAAGGTTTTTCTTCATTTGGAAGAGTGGAGACATCTTATTCAAGATGATTATGGTATCTTTGACTAAAAAACGTATAAACATACCAAGATAAATAATTTTTCCATTTAAGTTTTGCAGTGATAATAGTAGGAGTAGCTAATATAGAGAAAGTCATTCCAAAAAGAACAACTTTGAGAGGAAAACCCAAGGATTAAAAAAAAAAAACTAACTTAGACAAAAACCTTAGGTGAAATCTACGACCAAAAAACATAAGGACAAGGATAGCAACTTGATACCAACTTGAAAAACTTAAATGGAGTAAAACGTTGTATGTACTTTTTACACGGTTACAAAGGAGCATAATACAAAAGGTCAAGGCACTGCATTAAACCCTAACCCTAAAGTTGGGTTCAAATACATAAATAATAATAGAAATAAAACATTACATTTCAACAATATGCATGCAGCTACTACTGCAATATACATAATTTTGGCAGAGCAAGGTTTTACTCAAGTCATCTACCCGTGGTGCCAATACACCTAAACATGGAAATATGATTGCATTTACTTAATGAATATCCACTACAATTTTTAAAATCAGGCGACCACCTAGACATCTTGCAAGTCTAGAATTATCTAGAGTCAATTGGGGGCCTATCCAAATGTGCTAATATAAGTGTAAAGGAACTGGCTGTTTGCGAATATTGTGCAATTGAATCCCATCAAAAGCATTTCCTGTGAACAATGGAAGGCCCAGTTTCATCATAGTCTGCCTTAGTTACATGCTGATTTTGAGGAAAAACTACTTTGGCAAGTATGGCACCTCCCACCCATGCAGAGTACACGGTTAAATTTTCTGGCATGTATTCTGGAGGCTGCAATATGCCAGAGATTATCAGTCAGAGGAAACAGAAGTTAGAACATGAATAACGATATAAAGTTTATGGACAAAAGTATAGGATCATAATGAACTATTATAAAGATTAAGCCCGCAACTATTTATCCCCACAAAGAGAGGAAGCAGGAAATTGCTGCGGGGAACAACTTATTCTGGTCTAAGCATGTGAATTGCAGAGGGATGGAAATAAAACCATGGACCTGGATCCCATATTTCATTACGCACCAGATTTCAAGAATTAGTGACCACAAAAATGAAACATTATTTCAATGTTAAATACTAAAATTGACATAAATATGATGTCAATGAGACGTGCTTGTCAGATTATTTACTTGACAAAAGAATTACCTTTACTAGGGTAGGTCGAATAGCAGATGAACTTAGGCTAGATTCCTTCTGAAATCTTTCCTCAAAACCTACAGAAAGAAGCAACATTGGCGGTTAGCTTTCTCATAGAAAGCGATCAGATTACCGAGATAACCCTCCTCTAGCCATGAACATACTGAACAAATAGACATCTAACACGAAATTTCTTTTCTTACTAATCAGAGAAAACTTAAATTCCGTACGCAATTAAATGCAAAGTTATTTAACAATGCAATAGAAACAGCATTTTATGCACAAACATACGGAACAACACAAGAAAAGTGAGTTACAAGATAAAGTTTTTGTTGTCTACTATTTGGTGATGAATGCACAATATGAGAAATAGTGTTGTTCATGGTTTCATACACATCAGTATGGGAAGGAACAATATAAATTTAATGTATAAATGTTTTTAGTCTCAAATTTGAGATAAGTTTGTTTTTAGTTTCCCTAATTTAGAATTAATCATTTTAACTCCAATAATTTGGAAAAAAGCTTGTTTTAGTTCTTTTTACCTGAATATCGCTGCTAATTATTTCACTTATATAACTAACAAATTATAAGTTGTTTACATGATAACCTACTGCATGTTTATCATCCTTTCAAAGTTTTCATTCTAATGACATTTTGGTAGAAAACGCTAGAGAAAAAAGACAAAAAACAAGTTTTTTTTATAAATTTCAAAAAGCAACAGCAAACTCCCCATAAATTTTAGAGACTAAAATTATAATTACACTAAACTTTTACTATAATATTCTATTTGCTATATGATGTTTATTTCGTATGATAAAAAGGAACAATGTTTTCTATATTTAAAATAGTTATATTTAATTATTTTTTCCATATGATTTCTTATAGTATATATAACCGTAATATAACATTATAATTAGGGAAAATTGCATTCCTCCCTCGAGTGAAATATACAGAAAAGCAAGACCTTTCATTAGTTCTGTTGTACTCATATTAAGGAAAAAGAAAACATAGGATCTTTCACACTAGATTAAGCAGAGCTAATGAAATAATTGTTTACCGGTCATAGAAGAAGTGCCACCACAAACCACGGTATTTTCAAGAAGTTGGCGATGATTATCAGATGACACATTTGAAATAGTACGGACGAGCTGGTCAACAATGCCATGAGCCTCTAAACCTAATAGACATGGCTGAAACAAAGCTTCCCCAATGGTATACCTTTCTCTTCCAATTTTAATGACCTATAAAAATTCAAAAATCAGGGTTCGAACAAGTCAACAAATGCAGAAGACCAAAGTAAGAATGAGAAAGTACATGCTAAAGGTAGAGAATTATACTAACAAGGCAGTCATAGGAAAACACGACAAAACTGAACCAAAAAAGACTGTATCAGGCAACAAGAAAGTTATATTTATAGGTCAGCAACAAGAAAGACCTGCCATTTGGAGACATTATTCTAAACAAAATAGGCAAGGACATGCGGTAGTCAATTAGAGGCGGTGTTCCTGTGAATTTCTTCTCAGGAGATGTTGCTCGGATTATTGATTTGTATATGTACTTGTGTTCTTTGTTTGTCATTCAATAATACTTATGAGGCTAGACTCCTTATTCTGGTATCTATCAGCTAACCAAATTGCATTCAGTTGAATATTTCAGAAAACATATCTTCTTCCTAGTTCCTGCATTCAACCAAACAGCTCCTAACTTCTAACTCTTCTTTTATTCTTAGTGTGATGAGCTTCTTCTGCGTGGTATAAAGTCATTGTTCTCATTCAGATCTGCCACCACCACATCACAACTACTCAACTTTGCATCTCTGCTCAGCCGCTCAGCCTTATATGGAACACATCAAATTATCATATCAGTGTTTACGCAGCATTTTATGCACTTTTATTCATTTATGAAGTTCAAACTACCATGTTCTCAAGAGAATAATTGTATCCACATCTTATGGGTTAAACTAGTAACTGTCATGGTTTATATCTGAATTAGAGTTCTTTTTCAGATAATTTCAATTTGGTTCTGCTTTTTCATCAAAAACTTACCATGCCCAACCCTGGTCAAAGGTTCATGGCCATTCTGACCACCTCTATGATCATAACATTCAACAAGTGTAAAACCAATAAATCCCTACCACTTGCTCAAAGCACAAATATAGACGTTTCTAGTCTCATTCAGCACATCCTATGGAAAATAGGTATGGTGATGTTGGTAGGGAACAAATGGGCTAAGCATGGAAATGAAAAAACAGAAGGATGTGTTTATAGGATAGGAGAGAGTACCAAAGGGGCAACAGAAACTAGCTTAGGAATTTTCCTTGGAGACAAAGGCTGCATTCTGAAGCTCTGGCTGATATATTCTTTTCTGTATTTTTTTTTTCTGTTTTCCTTTATATATTTTTCAGAGCTTGAGTTATAATGCTCTACTGTAAAGGAGTCGTTCTACTAGAATGTGATCTATATACTACCGGTTTCTATCAGGTAACAAAATCACTCAGAACCCTTCTACGAACTAAGATACAATGCATGCATCCAATCATCCGTATTTGATTAAATATCATCCAAAGAAGAAATACATTTAGACCCAAAACAATCTTCAGTTTAAATATTTCAATGATAATCTCCTATAACCTTATCGATGTAATACAATAACCAATGTGTGAGCAAGGTTTGCAGACTTTGGCCAACTAAAGTAGAAGCCAAATGACTAGTTCATATGCATCGCAACAAAAAAAAAAAAAGAACTTCAATGTGACCAGCCAGATCAAATTTAACATTATTATGGAATTAAAACAGAAGCTTTCCTAAGGTAACAAATGTGAGCCACCTTCTCCTTTCTGCCTTTGTTTAAGTTAAGAACAGGTGAACAATCTCAACTCAAGTAAGCCCTACTCTCATTGGATAAACGGATAAACCACTTGATGTGGTACTTGAGCCTTGAGGTTCTCCCCCCACCTAGTGGACTAGTCTTTTGAGTTGGGTTCTCCACTTGTGCTTAAATCATTACAATTGGTGCTTTCATTGAGAGTTAGGTTACAGAACGGACTCTACAGGCTGAATTAAGGTGCAAAATGAACACTAATAGATGAGTGAAGTGTTCTCAAGGAGAAAAGAGCCACCGGTGGGTCAATTTCAATAGAGTGAAGCTGCCATTTCAGCCCTTAAAGGGTAATGTTAGGAGTCCCACATTGAGTAAGATAAACTACTTAATGCGGTACTTAAGTCTTGCAGTTCTCCCACCTAATGAACTAGTCTTTTGGGTTGGACTCTCCTCTTCTGCTTAAGTCCTAACACACAATTTTTCAACCCACCTTTCAATTTTGTCTGCTTTGCATTCGTACTAAGATTGTAAAATCTAAAGTAAAACAAACTTGATTGATGAACTGACTAAATACATTAGGAACAGGCATAAGTAAATGAAAAAATTATTAGATGGAGGAACAAAGAGACATGCCTGTCCGTCAGGAAGGGTATGTGTCTCCACAGGGCAAGAATCTTGAGTCTGCTGATAAGCTAATTCATCTTCAGCACAACATGAGTATAGCTGTTTTATTTTCTCAACTTCAGAGATGTTGAGATTCACTCGTGGATTGGATTTGCAAAGTTCTTGAGCAAGGAAATTAGTTAGATCGATACCTCCAAACTCAAATCTTCTAGAGGCAATGTGGTTAACAGCACCCTCAATCACTGGTGCAATATCTGATCAGGCAAGCCAAAAAGATCAAGTTGTGGATAATTAGTAAGCTCAGATTTTGAAAGAGAAACACTCAGCTTTCTACTCATGCTCTTAGATAGCACATACCATACTTATTAGATCACCAAAGATGGCATGTAGAAAAGGCAGGGTAAAATGAATATGCAAATGCAGGCAACAGTTCAATTTTTAAGTTATCCTTTTGACTCTTTTTGGCTTTAAAGATCTGACAAAGTCCCATGTAATTTATATTTGACCACTGATAAATGATATGCAGCTATACATTATTTTTATTTTACTCTGCTGCAATACAGAGATTTGACTACAACAGGTTTTTAGTCACCCACCATAGAGCTTTTGGGGCACAAACATCACATGAATATGTGATAGAGATAACATATACACCCACATTCAAATTAGACAACTTGATTTACAGCAAGCAAATCAAATAAACCATCTCTGTTTGTAGTTTTTAATTATACAATAAAAAAATAATTGATTTCCCATTCTTTCAGATATGGATACCTATTTTTCCATGACCAATGTCAACTGTGCATCCAGAGATACGTCCTACAGCATATAGTGACAGCACTGCTTGTTCAGAAGCATAAAACCCTGATATGTTGAATGTTTCAAACATTAGTTGCACTAACTGTTCCTTGTTAGCCTGGAAAACAATAATGCATATATCTATTAAAGAGTAATATATACATCTGTTAAAAAAAAAGCGAAAGAAAAGTTAAATTAAAGAGTACTACAGACTTGTAAACCTTCAATTTTTATTTCAAGGAAAGTCTAATGGATTATGGGCATGTTCGGATACACTTTTCCATAAACACTTTTTGAAGAAAATAGGAAAAAAAATTAAATAAACTTCTCCATGAGTTAAAATTATTTTATGAATAATATTAAGGTTGAGAGAGAATGAATGAGATTTGAAATTCATGTAAATTAATTTTTAACCCAAGTGAAATTCGGTACATTGAAGTATATATAGCTAAGTAATCTGTAACAAACCTAACTGAATAGAATCAAGTATATAGAGAACTCTAACTAACCTCTAACAAACCTAACCTATATAATCCAGAGATACTTAGAATGTTAGAAGAGACAGCTGTACTGCTTCAGTTACAGTAATACCTATACTACTGCTGTACAGAAATAAAAAAAAAAAAAGAAAACGAGATATATTGTAGAGTAACTATACTTGAAAACATAAGCTAAAAATCATCTTTTACACAAGAAAATATAAGGGAACTTCTACAAATTAACTTAAACATAAACTGATTTTAACTTATGGAGAAATTCATTTCATTTTTTCTAATTTCCTTCTCCTAGAAGTGTTTTTGGAGGTGTTTATCCAAGCAGATGCTATATCATATAGAAAGCTTGTTATGTAGTTGATAAAAATCATAAACCAGAAATGCATTTTTTTCCTAGACATTAAGAATTTGGATTTTCTCTTGGGATTTTGGTGTTGTCCCTTTGTTATGCCTTCAAAATACACTAATGTACACTGATTTTGATGTTTTAAAATATATTGAAAACTTCTTTAATATACAAGAATCAGTGTATTTTGAAGGCACAGTAGAGGAAAATACCAAAAGTCCGGCAGAAATCCTGAACTCAGACAAAAACGTAAATATACACACAAAAGATGACACCAAAATTTCAAAAGAGTACATGCTTAATTTTTATTAACTAAGGAGGGCAACTCGAGGAATACACCAGCAAACATACATATACTCCAGAGACACATTACGACCCTATTAGGAAGAAAAAGGCGTATGTAGGTACTTGTTAAAATTAAGCTTGTTAATAAGCCACTGCCATACCTACGACAAGCATAAAATAAGACAAATAGTATTGCTCACTTCAAGAAATGCTGTTGTAGGAATGAAGTTTGCAAAATTCTATACAGAAAATTCAAATGAATTATCATACAAACAGCGGCGGTAATCCATTGTTTTCATAAGCCTTAATTTCTCAACTGTCAAACATAAAATCATCCAAACAGGTCCAAAATAGTTAACAAGTGCTCAATGAGGCATATAATCCCAGACAAGCTGAAAATAGGGTCAACAAACGGGAAATTTTAAATCAGTAATAATTTTTAATGACAAATAAATGCATAAACTTCTAAAGTCAAACCTTTGGAGTACAAAGTGGATCCGTGAAGAGTATCTGCCCTTCATTGCCAATTTCCCATCCAAGGCCAGTATACAATACATAATGCAGTAAATCTTCCATGGCATCCCAATCTCTGACATAACCTCGGTAAACCGGATCGACGGAAACGTCGTCGACTGTTGGGTTATCGGTCACTGACCCATCATCGAGCATTCGCTTCATCTGAGTGGGAATTATCTGAACCAAAAGAGCCACAATTAGGGACACACATTGGCGGAAGACACAAAATTAACACAAATTCTATAATGCTTGTCGAGAAATGAAATTAGAAGCAAAGCGAAAAATGGATTTTCAGGCGAGAATTCACTCCATACCATGGCCGGAGTTTGATCGGGAATTGCAAAACCAGCTTTGAGAAGGCTGGAACCGGGGTCGACGACTGCGGCTTCCATGGCACGAAAACGAAAACCCTAACCCTAGATTTTGGGTTTGTGAAATAAAGCTTCAGGCTCTACTGTGAGTTCTGAGGTGAGTAGAGAGAAACTGCAGCAGAAGAAAAACGAAGAAACGAATACAGTTATTAGCGGGTTTTAATTTGAATACGAATGCTGTTTCATGTTCTATTTGATTTTTTTTACAGCGAAAGCAGTGATATGACACTATTTAAAAAAAAAACAATTGTAAGATATTAATTAATGGTATATTCATATACAATATTTCAAATAATTCTAATATTTTCAAGAAATTTTTAAACAATGTAAAAGTAGATTTTTATTTATTGAAAGGGAAGTAACTGGCATCTGTAGAATTAGGGGGATGCTCTATGCTATGAGTAGAGAGATAAGAAAAATTACAAAAAAAAAAATTGTGTAACTTGTAACTATAGGTATTGATATTTTAGGATATAAATTAAAACGTGTAATAAATAAATCTTTACTAAGAAATAATACATAGTAACCTAAATTAAAATGTTACAAATTTATATTTGATCAAACTATTGACTATAATATATGAAAAAATTAAAATGTTTATTTCGTACCATATAGACCATATAGACGTTCCATGTGGGAACCGACTTTTATATACTCATTTTTTAAATTTAAAAAGTTACTTTTTAACTCCATTTAGACGTCCAATCCCGCCAATCTAACTTCTACAGCCATATAAACGTCTGATGTGGGAAACCAACTTTTATATGGCTGCATTAAAACACCGTGAACGCGAGGCAGCAGTTATGCACACTTAATGTTCATCATCTTCCTCGCGTTTTCAGGCTTACTGTATGTTAAGATGTGAATTTCTATTTAGTACCGATTTAAAAATATAGATATTGGGTCTCAAAATTGTCAAAATTGTATGAATTGAGTTCCTTCCGTTAAATGGGCAAAAACGAAGTTAACTCCCAACTGATGTGACAAAAGAATCTTCACTTTTTCTTCTCTCTCCTATGCTTTTTCTCTCTTTTTTTAATCTTTTTTATATCATTGGAGGCACCTAGTTGAAACATGAACAATCTTTTCTGGTTATATATCTTCATTTTTCACTATCTCTGATACACTCAAAATCTTCCTTCAGCTTCTTGAACATCTCAAACACACTCCTTCTCCATCTTCTTCCTCGTAAGAAACCATTTCTAAATCAGTATTTATATATTAAAATTTAGATAATTTTTTATTCTTAAATTCTATAATTTTTATAAGTGACAAATCTATATAATTTTTAAATAATATTAATATCAATGTAAAGATATATACCATTAAATCTATTTTAATAAAATAGAAACCCAATTAAATAAAAACCAAAATTAAAATAAAAATGAATCACGCATCTAAATAACAGTTACCTCCATTTCTGTCCATATTTAACGGAAACGACTTAATTTATACAATTTTAACAAAATACTAAAAAATTCAGCTCTTAATATGGGAATGAAGTAAGCATTTAAGCCTAATTATTATAATAATTATCTTAAAATTTTCTCAAAACTATTTATAGTCATTTAACTCATGTCCACTTTTTTTCATACACACATCATTTACGACATATCAACATGCTTAATAAAGATATAACATATACTTACATTCTTTTATTTTCACCCAACACAAAGAATCACAATAGAATAACATCAACATACTTTCCTCCAAAACACAAAACCTCAGCCAATAAGCTTAACCATGTAACATAGGCCATGAGTGCATGTTGCTCCCACGTAGAGTCTAACACCTTTGCATGGCTATCGTTCCACTCGTTTAACAAGCATAAATCTAACATAGAGGGTCGTCTAACCACATCAATTCATCTAACCAGCATAGCCAAGCACCTCATCTACTTCTGACTTGTCTACTTTGTCTTAGCTATTCTCAAGGGTCTACAACTATCATCTCTATGATAAAAATAAGTAAAAATAAATAGTCTAATCCTTTATTAAAATTGTCCAATGGAGCTCCACTTTATTCAAAACATAAGTCATCTCTCAACTAATTCAATAGAAATCTCTAAATAAGAACATGGAAAAAAGGATAAGAACATGAAAGGAGAGTTTATTTTATTGATGATATAAATAAAATAATTATATGATTAAAGTAGACCGATTTTTTTAGTTCATTCGTAATTGAATTCATTGAGTATCATAGGATTATTATTTACTTAATTTCAAAACAGTTTTAAATTAGCCAATCCAATAATATTTTCACCTATTCCAAGCATATGTGTATGGAATTTTATTCTTTTACCTCTTCAATTAAGCAAACAAGAGGTTATTCGATTTAGACAAACTAACAAAAATTTTAATTAAAAAAATAAAATTGAATTATCAAACAATTTAAGATTATAAATCAATATTCAAAAAGAATAAATGAAGTAGACCTTATCCTTAAAAATTTCAATTCAAAACTTTAATTCTACATGATCTCATAATTAAATATAAATTGACAAGAGAATCAACTTACAAGATTTAGCTTTCCATGCAGAGACAACAAAAAGATAATAAGAAAATAAAATGTGGTATGATATTTCAAAGTAATCAATTTTGTTTGCAAAAGGTCCAACACAATCTAATGGACCTCCAAAGTATTAGACGAATCTTTCCAAAATATCTTTTCAAAGTATACAAGTCTAGTAGTTCACATAGTAGACAAATCTGCTCATAAATCAATGATTCTGGACACTTGACTTGCCATGAAAATCTTCAAAACCACTCTATTTCTTCATTAAGTTTATAATCTCATCTTTTCCTAGTCACTCAAAAATTCCCAAATCAAATTGCTAGCATCGTCAATATATCCATCATATCACTGTGTATTTATAAACGACTTATGAGCTTATTTATATTTCAAGTGCACAAAGTACATGTTAGAATGTTCAGGAAATGTTTATGTGCATTACATCAACCGTCAAAATTCAACTCATGGATGTTCTATTAAATTATCTAGCAAAGTTCAATAAACTAGACTCTATACTTTTTAATTAAATTCGTCTATCTAAAATGTATCTACCAAATTTTAATCCGTGATTTTAGTTGAAGCTCAATTAATCCCATTTAGATAAATTCTAGTTAAAATAATAGATTTAAACTCCACTAAAATGTAAGAAAGTCAAGAATAAGTGTTTTAAATATGATTGAAAATGTACTAATTACTATAATAATGACGCAGACTTGTAAGCCTAGACTTTCTAACTAGCCTATTGTATGCATGTTCTAGTCATACAAATCGATACAAATCACTTGGATTTGTTCTAGTCATACACCAAACACGTACAAATATAAAGCTAAGACACTAATTTGAAATGCAAAATTAAAAAGAAAAGGTAAATGAGCAAGATTATGTGTGGTACCATATTTGTGAAAAATATTGTAATTTGCGCAAACCAATTATTAATTAAACAAAACACACACAAACATTAATTGAATCTTAAAGAAAAAAAAAAGAAAAAAAAACACAAATAAAAAGCAAAACTGGAGAGTTAAATTAAATTGAATTTCCTGATAACAATACCAAATTTGATGATTCAATCAAATTAAAAAAAGTCGATTGTCCACTATAAGTCAACATAAATTAAATATGGATAGAACTAATTAATCCAAAGTTACTCCTACGAATTTAATTATAATTTCAGCAAGCCAGAATTTGAAAAGTTGGAAGCTAAATTTTAGAAAAAAATCAGGAACTAAAATATCATTAACCAATAGTAACTCTTTTAGTTTAAAATACAATTATTTAATTTCAATTTGAACATGTAGACAGTAATATACATATAATAACAAAATTTATATTTAACAAAAAGGTAGAATCTTCAAAAATAATCTGTCTCAAATTATGTAGATATCACTATGCAAGTAGTGACAAGAGAACACGTAACAAAAAGGAATCTGACTCGTCTAAGCCATCCATGTTCAGCTATGTTCTAAGAAAAATCAACACTTTTATAACAGATCTAAATAATCTAAAGTAAACAATTGATATGTCATATAAACAATCTCAATCAATAATTGATATGTCATATAAATGTACGTAGCAGATAATGTGTTAGTTAACTTTGTTTATTTCAGAAGAGTCAAGTCCAACACATGTAAGCCAAAACAATATCCATAATAAAGGTGTCGAGTTTTAGAGAAGAAACAATGGAGATAAAGTTCCTTTGAAAGAGAGGTTGCCCTTTGTCATTAGAGAAATCAAAAGAAAATACAGGAAACAAGGGAAAATCTATTTGGCAAAAACATACAATATCCCAACCCTTCCATCATTCTCCCTGATCCTTCGCTACCACTTTGATCCTCTAATTGGAGAACAAAGCTTTCATTGTTTAGTCAGGTATCGTGCTATGGCAGCAATGATAGCAAGAGGGTTCTCCAAATGAGCAGCATGGCCGCAGTTGGGAATCTCAACAACCTCATGTATAGCATTCCCATTTTCATGCTTACTCCCCAAGCCAGAGCACAACATTTTCATCATTTTCTGAGCAATATTTCTAAATTTTGTATCCTTTTCTCCATGAATGATAAGAAGAGGTACTCTACAATTTGGCAAATCTTCCCACATTGACCTGCTCTCTCAGGTAACGAGTAATTTTAAGTTAAATGATCACAGTGTATCATTCAAATATATAAATTAAGTGATGCAGATAATACAAATTAACGGTTCATATAATTGGCTTTATCTCACAACCATACATATATTCAATCCCTAAAATAGATGATTTTTCATTTTGCTATAGTATAATAAGCTTCTGTTATAATTGTAACTAGTTACATCTATCCCCGTTTGATAACTGTGTTATAGCCAGAAATAGTTACATTTGTTAGTTTAATAACGGTGTAGGTTGTTAGTTTTCAGTGATGAAAAAAAGTGTAGGCACTCAGCAATAATTATGGAACTACTATTCATGATTTAAAAAAAACAATACATTGGTATATAAATGAAAAATGAAATCCTGATAAAAGGAAATAAATTTCCTAAATTAAAGAAAATAAATCTCCAGACATAAATACTCTAAATCTGGAACAAATTTACCAAATAAACTCTTAATTCCAATCCCTTAATTTAAAATAAAGGCTCTAATACCATCTTAGTAAATGAATTTATGTCTAACTCAACCTCACAAACTAACTTGTAAGTTGAGGAATTGCATTCCATTTATATACTATAATTCAGCCTTATTCGTAGTCGATGTTGGATCTCAACACACTTCCTCACACTAAGGAATAAACATCTTGAGGATATGATTAGATATTTGTGGGTGATCTAAAAAAAAGAGTCCGATAGTGGTGACTAATGGCCTCAAAGAACTTGATTAGGATAAGCTCTTAATGGCTATAATACAATATGAAAAAACTGTAGGCACTAAGCAATAATTATGGAATTAATTTTCTTGTTCTAACAAAAAGAATACATTGGTATTTAAAAGAAAAACGAAATCTTAATAAAGGGAAATAAATCTCCAGACTTAAAGACTCTAAATCTGGACCAAATCTACCAAATAAACTCCTAATTCCTTAATTATAGGGATTTCTTACAAAAAAAATCTATATTTATAATCCAATCAATCTTTATTTATTGTACACTAAATGTGCAAATTTACACCCATATTTCAACATTTACCCCTCAAATATAAAGGGGTATAAGTATTACCACCCTTGGTGTCGCTAGGTCTTACTGTCAAAATGGGTTGGAACACATGAGCCAACCTGATCCACCACGGGTTTGAGTCAAGTTGGGTTGAAAAAAATTTTAAAATTTCGATGAGCCAATTTTGAACTTAGCTCACTAAGAACCTGGCTCAACCAGGTTGAACCCGTGGTGAGTCAGGTTGGCTCACCAACCCACCTAATTTTTCTAATAAGTACTTTTTGTTGGGTTATTCATTTTAGAAAATATTGAAACAAAGGCTTGTGTGAAATTATTTTTCTATACTTAGTAACTCAATTTTTATGAAAAAACAAATTTGAATCGCTATGAAGCTACTAAAAGTTTTGTTGATAAGATTTTGTGATATCTTTGTGTGAATGAAATCTTATGTTTGGTTGATCATACATATAATTTAAGACCTTTCCCCTTTATTTAGATTTGAATTAGAAAATTTTCGTTATTTTTTTTAATTGAAAAAAAGAATTGGTAATTAAGTGAGTCACTAAGCCAACCCGTTTAACCCACCAACCCGTGGTGGGCCGAGCCGGATTAATAAGTGAGTCCGGTTGGGTTGGTTCACTAATTGCAACCACTGATGTATTCAAAGCACCTGCATCAGTTCAGGAAGTTATAAAAAGACAGAAATTGGGTTCAAGCATCGAGGTAAGCAACGGAGGCATTAGAAAGGAATTCAATTTGAAAGGTTGTTGATAAACCCAGACAAAATAGTTGTAGAATGTAGATCGCTGTACACCACAAAATGTAACTTAATGAGAAATAAAAATTATTCAAGGCAAGACTAGTGGCAAAATGACACTCATAAACCTACGGGTTGGCTATGAGGAGAAATTTTGTCCTTGTGTAGCAAAAAATGAGTACAGAATGAATCACCTTCTCCCTAGCCGCTTACTTTGGATGGAACCTGCAGTAGTTTGATATTGAAACATAGAGACCTAGAAGAGGAAGTCCAAATGGAGATACCCCGAGTGAAGAAAATGAGGTGTGTAGTTCAAGAAGGTTTTGTATTACTTGTGCTTTATTTTCAACTACTGACCACAATTTTCTGGCTTTGTTTTCAGCCAACCGTGTGTTCATGCATTCACACACGGCTCCTTATGCTCTGTTTTGTTCTGTTCATGTGTAATGGTGTTCCTTTTTAACACGTACTCCACACTCCCCTAATAGCCCTTTATTTTGTTTCAACTGCATTTGTTTTCTGCTTGCATTGATGATATGTTATGTTTTTTTATTAACTCCATCATCATATCTGAATGGAGGGTACTTTTTGCATGGTGGGTACATTTTGAATGGTGGTCATGTATGTATAAACTATGCATACAACATATTCATGTTTTTATTAATTTCTGTGCAAAATTTAAAAAAACTTAAGACCTTGGTCTATGAATATGGTTTAGTTGCTCCAAACATCCTATAGATATTCAACTGGATGGGGAAGAAGACACTAATAGAAATAAATGAAGCAAAGGAATGAAAAAAAAAATAGTTAAGCTTAATTTGCTTACAGATGCCTTCCTATGCTTAATCCAGACAGCACCTGTGAAAGACTCTGCACGTCATCATGCTGCAAGCGACTAGCAATAATTCGACTGGAATGGGGATGACTTCGTAAGCTGTTTGATGATACAAAAGTAGGCTGAGACACTAATAGAGGGATTACATCATAATAGCATTAACATAAATCCCGCATAGTCTAAAGATTAGAACAGACAGGTTACCTTTTCCACAACTCTCCAGCATACCAGGAACTGACAAAAAGTTGTAAGCCATGTGTAATGACTGTGGATGCTCTAGAATCATCTTTAGCCGCACGAATTTTTCTTGATAATTTATCATTTAATCCAGGGCTTCCAGATATTAATATGGCACCCTTTATCTGCATGGTATATGCTCAAAGTGTTTACCAACGGTCATGAAAACATCAAAATGAAGTAAAGACATTGAATATAACCATTATACCTTGGTGCCAAATTTGAGAGCCATAAACAATGCAATCCTTGCGCCCATTGAGTACCCGACTAGTGTAACCTTTCCTGGAGCTATGTGGTGAATTAATTCATGCAATATATCAGCAACTGTCTCCAATGACAGCCATGGTTCATCACCAACACCCTCTAAGCCATGTAGTATTGATTTTCCATGACCAGGAAGGTCAACAGAAATGCACTTTGCTGATCCAGAAAAGGTCTTCATGATATTAATCCAGTCTTCACCAGTTCCAAGAAATCCATGAAGAAATACCAGCACGTTATCCTACATTTGCTAAATCATATCTATATAAGGGAGTCAAATTTTACTTTCACGAAAATACAAATAAAGATGGAGCATGTTACCCATATATGCAATAGATTTGCTTGTAAAGTAATGGAGACTAAATCTAAAATCTAGCCATAACGCTCTTCATTACAGTAATCATAACATTGGGATTCTATACTTACATTTGTTTGAAGGCCAGTCTCACGAACTTCAAAAGAACAAGATACATTGTTAAGCTCTATTCTACATTGGTACTGACGAACTTCCTCCTCAACAATAACATATGAGACAACTTTTTTGTTGACTTGAAAATCGCGGACAAATCGACTAGCATCTGCCACAGACGCTTCAACAAAACCACTTTTTGGATTACGACAAATAAAATGAGGATTTGGTGTTACATCTTCCTTAAGCCAACGGTAGGTTCCAAGACCATGTGCTATAGCAGGTGCTGCCACATTATCTAACACTTTGAATGTACCTAAACTCAGCATTTCAAGATAACTAGAAAACTGAGTATATGCAGAAAGACTAAGACTGCTTTCAAATGCAGCACTTACAACGACCATCTTCCCCATATGGTAGGCCCATTGAGCAATTAATGCCGCATTCTCAAATCCACCAACAACACTTGGTTTAATAACCTGAAAATTCATTGCAAAATTCTAAATAAAACAAAGAGTGATCATTTTATATTGACAAGATCATAAACTATTTTGCAATTCTGATAAGAATTTATAAACAGATATTCTGTTTCATCTAATCAAGACACCAATCCAAATGGAGTCGTAATGATTGAACATATATATAGAAATGAAAAGAAAATGTCACAACTCTAGCATGTTTTACGGTAAAATTTTATTTTCTCTGTTGAAAATCATCAAAAGGAATTACACATACGGCTGGAAAATAGGAAATCCAAATAAAAAATTTGCTCAATTAACAGTTTTCTACCCTAGAAAAAATGAAAAATATCTGAATAAAAAAATCTGATATAATAATCTCAATCTTTCCTATTTATAATTAAGCATTTTTACTCATTTGTTCTAATCCTATAGTTTGAATAAAAGGGTAAAGAGTATATACATACACGTTGTAAAGAATAAAATATCTTTGAAGATCCAAAAGGTATTGTACTTTCTTTATTTCCCTATTTCTCATGATTTCCTTATTTTCTGTTATAGGGACAACTTTCCTCAATAATAGACAGATGGGAAAACGTAGTTAGTGTTGCAGAAATAATAAAAGATAGTCCTCTTTCAACTACACCGTAGCAGAATTGCTTTGTTAATTTATATTGAATAAGAAAGAAATCAAATATATAGGATAAAATGCTCTCAATTCCTCAGAAAAGCAATATTACAGTTTGTTAATATAATTATATTTTGTATTTTCTGAAGACACCATAACAATACCTAAATGATGTAAACCTAGTCTGCCCTTATTATCTTAAGAAATTCTTATTTACTTACGACAGCAGCTATTGCTGGATGAGTAAACTTCACTAGCTTTTCCATTGGATTTTCTTGCATGTTATCTATGGTTTCATCTAGGGCAATAGATAAGCCACTTTCTTCACAAAACTTGAGAATATTATCTTCATCCTGAACAGGCTCCTGTAAAAGGGATATTTCAATCAAGTTATACACAAACATGCACCAACCAATAAATTGGTGGAAACCATATAAAGAAAAGCCACAGAGTGAAAGCATAAACTACAAATAATGTCTTATTTTCTTTGTCTACCTCAATATACTGTAGGTTACAATCCTTAACCAAAGAGCTGAATTTCATAGCTTCTTCATAAGTCCAACTTCGATTAGCATCTGCACGGATGATAATCTTGCGACCAACTTTCTTTCTCACTTCTTGTATTATTGCTGCATCAAGCATTGGATCACCCCTGCGCGCTACCTGCATAGCAAGAGCACTATTAACCATTGTCCTTCACTGTTGGTCTATATAAAACGTAGTTGAGGGCTAATATGTGTAAGCAGCTTAAACTAAAGAATGAATACTAGATAACCTTCAGCTTAATTGCAGAAAATCCTTCCTCAATTAGTTTGGCGGCAACATTAGCAACTTCAGTTGGAGATCCATTTGAATCAATTAATGCACAAATCTGAACATTTAACGACGTTTCACAATTGTTGTTCTCATTTATTGAGGGATGGAGTATGTTCAGCATGTTGGAACCTTTTGCATTAGCAATGGCATTGAGGATAGCCATTTCCAAACCACATCTTACACTTGGAAAAATAAAAGATGGCTGCATCAAAACAACAGCAATATCTTAAGTCAGTTTGTAACAAATTGATATTTTAATGTCATTAAAGAAGTTCCCCTATCATTGCATGTTAGGTTTCTGGGTATGAAACCTAACTGTCTCACAGCACACACTCACTCAATAGCACCCAAATGGTAAGAAAAGAATGAAAATATGTATTCA